TGAACATGTAATTGTAAAATATAAACTAACGATAACAATAAATCTTAGTTTTAAATATATAAATTCATGAATTTTGAACTTCGACTTATAAATGAATAAACATGTTCTTGTGAATATTCAAAGTTTAAGTTGTAAATTTATCAAGTTAGCCAATACAAACATATCAACTCTAATAAAAATTTTAGTTTCAATGGACAATTACTTGTTACTATGTAAATTTAGAGTTCTAAATTCATGAACATGTAATTATAAAAATCTAAACTTGCACTTATTGCCTTTTTCTCACTAAGGCCAATTGTATCTTTTCTCCCTAATACATATTTGCAAAAAGGATCCTTAGGCGTGCAAAATAATTTTAGAATATATTAGGCCCTAACTGCAATTTTTTCTCTCTTTAGGGCCATAGATGAGATTCTCCCTAACTTTTTAAAACATATGCTGGTATTTTTTTATAATAATTGACTTTGAATTTGTTGACTAGTTATCCATTTAAAAGCTTATAAAATGTATAATTAATAATTAATAATTTTACTACATTGAGTTTCTATAGCTAAAAAAGATTATTAAGAATTTGGACCGGCGAGACCTTATTAGTTGCATGGCATTGGAACAAGGGCTTCTATACATAGCTATATATATGTGCCCATGTCTTATTCAAAGTTTGGTAAACCTATAATTTATGATATATTCAATGGAGAAGTTTTAAAAGTACATTAACTCATATTCAACAATTAGCAAAGAAAAGTGGTTGAAATTACTCGAAAATATTTATTTTACTAAAAATTATCATAACATTTTAAGACACTCTACATTAAAATCTTAAACCTCTACTTCTAATGTCAAATTTATTATATGTGTTTCAAAAACATCTGTCATATAATGTGTATAGTTTAAGAAAGCTTAGCTTAGGTTGCATATAGTGAAGTTAAGGCCACTAATACATGTGGTGAATATATAAGATAGTTAGACATATGAGAATGACTATTGTTATTACTAAATAGAAAAATTGTACAAAAATAACTAATACTTATTAAAATTCAGCAATTATTTTTTTAAGAAAAGTAAAATTTCAAAGTGGCAAATATTTTAAAATAGAAGGATACCGTACTTATCCTAGATGATTGTGATTATAAAGAGTATATTTGAAAAGAAAATTAATAAATACTGTTTGCGCAAGCATGCCAGAAAAGCTTGGCCTCAATCGGTGCAGTATAATATACCTAATTTCTAAACCAAATAGTGAATTTCTGAAATCTTTTGCTACAATTTTCCGAAAGCGCAAGTGGTTAAAAATAAAGAAAATGAGGAAATAAAGAAGGAGAAAAATGGAATAATTACATAGTGAGAGCAGACATGACATTAATAACAATGTTAAAGAAATGATAGAAAAAATAAGATGAATTAATAAAAGAAAAATGTTGCAATAGTGATGCTACCATTTTGGTAGGAGCTATCGCTTCATTGGATGTGAAAAACTTATTGCTCTTTACTGAATGCATGTTACTCTGAGGGAACTATATCTAATTTACTGAGGGAAAAAGTGTCAGATTTGATCAACCTAAGTGTTGAATTTATTTGAATATTGTTGATTTGATTGAAATTGGAAAGATGTTGGAGATTTGTTAGGTTGTGGCTTCCTTCTTTTATAGGTAAAAGGTGATAGTTTTTTTTTTTTTATGACTCCATGCTCCTTTTTTTAAAGCCATTAGTTATAATTTTCTCCAAGTTTCCTCAATTTCGTTCATTTCTAAAGTGACATGTTGGCTGACCAAGTCTTCCTACAACTTTTCTCTTTCTAGAAGCTTGAAACGTGACTTGGGTCATAAATTGTATTTTTAGCCTAATAATTAGGTTTGGAGCAAAATTTATATTTTAACACAAACAAAGTTTGCAATAGACATAGTCATATAAAGATAGTGGCGATGGTCATGTGATTGGGCATGATTAATGTCAAAAGGCAATACAATTAATAATGTTTGTTTGTGAGTGCAATTGTTGAAGAAAAAGACACTTTAGTTGTGTGCTTTTGCAGGTGCACCATTCTACAACTAACCAATGTGGTCAACTTTTCTTCTGTTTGTTGCGCTTTCACCACCTGTTTAATTTGCACAACCTACATTCTCACCAGTACAAGACGAGGCAGAGAAGAAGTCTGATTTATGTTCAAATCATTTGTAATAAATAAAATTATTACAAATTATTCTAAAAATATATCATTAATATATTCTTTCCGTTCTAATTTATAAAATATTTTTTGATAAATTATATATACTAATAATAATAAAATTCATTAATTACACTTTACAACCTTACTTCTTTAAAATGCAAATATAAATTTTTAAGAAAATTCCTTTCATTTAATATAACCTTATTTGTGAAATATTAAATAAAAAGCAAAAGAATATAACAAAAAAGACAATATTAAAACAAGTATAATTAATAAAATATTATTTTTGTTAAAGTATTTAATATTTTGGAAAATTAAATCAGTTTTAAAAATTTGTTATAAATTGAAATGGAGGGAATATAATATAACTCATTACACATTTTTCTTAACTATTCTTTCACATAATTGATTATAATATTATGTGATAGAATCCCATGAAGAAGTTGCAAGAATATGAGAGACTCAGAGACCAGGGGTTGGGGTAAGCATCAATTCGTTTTGATTGGCTTGGTGCCAAATTTTTCAAAATCAATCAACCGAATTGCATAAAAAGATTGGATCGAATCAAACCAAAATGGTTAATCAGACCAAATTATAACAGTTTGGTTCGGTTGACCTATTCAAGTTATAGACTTTAAATGCATAAAATCAACAAAACATTCAAATAATGCAAAGCATTCAAAAAGGGAGATATTCAGCAAGCCACTATTGCAAAGCATTTAGAATTTGAAGAAATCAAAGGTTGAAGAAACGAAAACATTAAATTAGCAAAATATTCAAACATCAAAGGCAAAATGAAACAAAATAATCATTAAGGCACAAAGAAACCTAAAGCTTAAGCGCAACAACCCAATAAGAAAGGGGGAGAGGGCAAGATGGAAGGAGAGAGTCTATGATAGATGAGAGATGTGATGAGTTGATCATTATTGAATTGGTAGAGATCGACAACATTAGAGCAATAGATCATGATGGCAAGGGTGCAGAAGCTTGTTGGTGGTGTGGGCAACGACTTAGAGGAAGGAACTCATTGATGGCATTAAGAGGAGTAGATGTCAGCTAGCAAGAGAGGGGTGAATGCAAAGGAGAAGCAAAGAGTGAGAGAGGTCACAAGGAAAGGATGAACACGATAGAGGGAGTGAAAATGTGGGGAATGAGTATTGGGGTTGCATACATTCATTTACTTTTTTTAAGTATAAAATTGAAAAGAATGAAATAAAATAAACTAATTAATAAACTATATATAATTTATAAATTAATAAATTATATATATATATATATATATGATAATTCAGTCAATTTGATTTTAAAATTTAATAATTGAATCAAATGGATCAAATGAAATTTTTCTTGAAAAAAAATAAAACTGAAAAACTAAATAAACCGAATCAATTAAATAAAATTTAATTTGATTCGATTTGATTTTACTCACCCTTACTTGAGTGGAGATTAAAATAAAAATAAAATAAGTCTCATCTGTAAATTCAAGTTTCACAAAATATTTTACCCAAGAAAGTTTTAGAAATTTGAAATTATTGCTCAAATTATTGTGAAAAAATAGACATCAAGGAAACAAATAAACCTTGTGCACACGTTTATTTTTTGTATTTTTACTCACTTAATATATTTTGAAATTATTTGATGGAATTCCTTAAATTAATTTTAAAAAAATGAAGTAATTACGTAGCTAGTCTATATGCGAGTATCAATATGTCAACCCCACTATATTTTCTATTACAAGTCAGTATATCATCACATCACACAGAATTCTTAAAGTTATATTTTTCATGATTTTTTTGGCAACGTATATTATTAGTATATAAGTTATTAATTTTTTTATTTTATAGAAAAATATATAGATCTTTGCACAAGATCATATTAGATTCCTGAAAAATATCCAAACTATACTGCCCTCATTCTCTTCCTTCTTTTTTCCGGGTCATAATTATCCTCTATTGATTAAACAACTCAACATAAGCATAAACATAAGTTAATGTTGAGTCAATCAAGCAAACCTTTTTTGTTTTAGTTATAAATTCTTTTATATTAACAATTGTTGACATGATCCCAAACTTTGAATGCTTACAAATTAGTATTGGTTCCATTTTTATTTAAATTATATATATAAACAAAACCTTCATTCTTTTATTTTTTATTTTTATTTTTAAACACGCCCGTGTTTCTGTATAATCGGCTCTAAATCTTGATAAAAAGAAAAGAGTTGTTTATAATCGGCCTGTGTTCCTGTAATTTTTGAACCCTTGACAATTAACATAAAACTCTGTTGAATCTTTATTATATGGATTGAAGGTATTAATTAAATTAGACCCCAACTGGAAAAATTTGAGACTAAACTGATTATTTATATTCTCAGGAACGTACGTAGACACAAATATGGACTTTAAAAAGTTAGTATCATTCCATGTTAGGTCTATATAATTTATAAATCATAGCTTATTAGAAAAGGACACAAAACAAGTATCCAATCTGATTCATATCTTGTGATTCAATTCAACCACACTCACATTAGAATATCCAATTATCTATTAACTCGTCATGATGATCATTTGTGTCAGTCAAGAGAAAATTGACGTGAAGGGTTAAATAATAACAATAATAATAAAAGTCCAAAAGTGAAAAACTTGGTTTCACCAAAGTCATACTCTGTGACCTTTAGTACCATTTTCACTTTGTCTCATTTTCTTTTATCTCGTTTGGTAAGCCATCATTGTCTCTGCTTTGCATCTTCCATTGAAGGAAGAGAAATCAAATCAAAAGCTGAAGACACAGAGACTGACAAAGAATGAAACAAACAAAGAAAAGAAAGAAGGAGAAGAAAAAGAAAAAGCAAAATAAAAATGCATATCATTGATGGGTGTAAGTGATGCATGCCAAGCAGCATCAATACTAACAACAAACCAAGTCCCTCTCTCTCTATCCTTCTCTCTCTCTCTCTCTAAAGAGAGATCAAAACCCTTCAAACATGAAATATGGTCCCAAAAATCCAAACTTTGAACCAAACCCACCTCAGAAGCTCATAGCTATAACCTCGTATGCATCTCTTACATCCCATGCTTTGATCAGAGGAAAAAAAAAAACAGAAGGAAAAGTGGAATCAGTGGCTAAAACGTTATAAAGCACAAGAACCAGGGTTAAACAAGGAATTAAAAAGAAAGTGAAGGACCAAAGAGCTAAAGTTAAAAGATAAGATTCGGACCGCTACCCTCAATTCCCCGCAATGCAATAATAACGATCTCCCAATTCTGCCCCTCTCGCACGTACGTACCAGAGGGGGCTAGAAACTCAGGAGAGCGTAATTGCAAAGCCTTTTCGTTTTCTTGTGTTGTGTTGCGTTATTTGACATCACCAACGCCACCGTCTCCGGTGGACATAACATCCTTCATCGTCGCCGCTGCCGCCACCGGTCTTGTGGAACGCATCGTTTTGGCTATGATTCATCTTCAAGAAGATGATGAAGGTGGGTAGCTAACTAATTAAGCTGCAAAGGTAGGGGGAGAGAGAGAGTAGGAAAAAGAAGAGAGTATGAGCATAGGGCCAAGGGAGGGGACATGATGGGTCGTATATAAAGGCAAGGTTTTAGCTTTTCGTTCCTTAGTTTTATTTTTTTTAATTTAAGAAGGAAAAAAAAAAAAAAAGATGGTTAGGTTGGTCTTCTGATACAATAATATGGGTTTGGCCAAATTTATGGTAGAGTGAATTTTTTTTTTTGAAAAATAAGTATTATTATATTATAAAAATATTTTCATTATTTACTTAGAAGAAATAAATATAATCAACTTTCCAAAAATGTTTTGATTAAATTATTAAGAATGGTCCAAAAATTATTAGTGTGAGTAGTTCATAAAAATTATTTAAATTTAATCACCAAAGTATTATATTTTTTATGATAAACTGTTATAATTTTATTTTAATTTTTTAAAAAAATATATATAATTTATTTAATTTTTTTTAAAAATATATAATTTATTTTATTTTTTAAATCAGAATAAAATTTTATTTAAATTATATAGACCTCATAATCTCATATCTTATGTATTTAAAATCAACAAGATCATTTATAAAACAAAAAGGTATATCACAATTTAATTAGAAAACATAGAAGAGAAAGGGCCTTTCTTTTTTGGCTTTTTAGACATGAGATATGTAGTATAATGCATTTTTCCGTTTCAGGAAATGTTTATATAAGTTTAAAAAATTATATAATATTCATGAAATCCAAATTAAATTTGTGCGTTTAAAATTGATGTGATTTGAGTAAAAAAATGAAGAAGATCTAAGAAATGTATTTATCTATTTATTTAAAAACAAGAGAGAAGAGAGAGTATTTGGTGTTATTTGTTGGAAAAAGAGAAAGAGAAGTGGGGAAATAAGAAAAAGAGGCAAGGAGGTGGGGAGGGCATGTTTGTGGGGAATGAAAAAACTCCACTAACTCGGATTCCAAGGCTCTTGGAATTTTCATGATCATACATTTATATTTTTATATTTAATTATTTATATATACTTATATACTTTCAATTTATAACACATTTTTAAAATAATTCATTAATTTGATGTCCCAAAATATAACATATTTTGATAAAAATATAATTTTATTAATAATAATAATTTTAATATTATCCCTCATGATCTCATTCCTCAAATAAATTTCTTTCTTTTGCTCTCGTGAAGAGGATTTAAAGTTTATTAAAAATTTAAGATTATAAACTATATTTAACAAGCTTCATTAATATGTGTAATTTGTCACAAAGTATCTATCTATCTCTATATATATTTGCACCTTACTACTTTTCTTATGAAAAAAAAGTTTAGGCAATAACTTAAAACTAATGCATGTCTCCTGACTCAAAAAACATTCACAAAAATATTTATAAATAATATCAATAAGGTCTTCATAGTACTAGCGGACTTGATCCAACTATATTATGAGTTATGAAAACCTTACTATTTTTTTATCCCACTTATAAATTACATTTTAAAAGATTTATTTAGATTGATTTATAAATCATAATGCGACTTTTTGAATTTATTATATAAAAATATATTTAAAATTTTATATAATTTTATTTATTATATTTTTTATATTAATATTAATAAAATTGATGGAAATAATTTATAAAGTAAATCAGAATAATACTTTTTTTTAAATTTTGATGGATGAAGAGAGAGAAAGAGAGAGTAATTGATTGATGATGTGAGAGAATGAGAACGTGGGCAAGAGTGGTAAGAGAGAGGGGAGGAAGACTAATGGGAGGGAATTGGGAGATCACTAATACAAAAAAGGAAGAGCTTTTTATGGGCAACTTTTTGGATTCATTAGCCCCATTATTGCGAGGGAGAGAGAGGCACGCATGAATATATATATATATATATATATGATGGTGGTTGGTTTTGATTGCCATGCTTTGTACATGCGTTTGGTCCTTAGTGGGGCATTAGCCTTGGTTGTTGTGAACTCTTCTCAGCCATATGGTCCAAACTCCTCCTTTGACCCTATCCTCTAACTTTATTCAATCTCACCCTTCCCATGCATCATTGAGTAATCAACACTGTCTATCTACTCTTCACTTCTCACTCTAACCACCAACGTAACTTGGCATCAAATTATACTATTTTGTATTGTATATACTCTTCCGATTTAGTACATAAGTTATTTTTAAAAAATATAATTTAATCTATTTTACAATTCATTTATTAATGAAATTATTTTATTTTAAATTAAAATTTTTAAATTACCTTTAAAAAGTAAAAGAAAGAAAGATAAAAAAATAATATTATATGATTGACTTATTTTTTACTTTTTATTTGAAAATTATATTTAAAATTTTACTTATTTTTATTTATTATATTTTTATTATATTAATATTAATAAAAATAATTTATAAATAAGATCAGATAAATATATTTTTTAAGCCAATTAGTTAATACATCAACAAACTTCACATCACATCATGAGTTTGACATGAGAAGATCCATTGTATCGAAGTGAAATGATTGACAAATTTAGTTCCTGTGATGTGTGATTTACAACTTCAAATTTTGAACTCAAAGTTTGCCATCAGCCAATTTAATTTTGAAAGAATTATTTTAAAATTTCACTCCATACAATTAAATCCCATTTGCCTATTAAGAAAGAACAGAATGAAATGAATTAAAAAAATAAAAATAAAAATAAGATAATTAAAGGAGATAGGTGAACACATTTATAAAAAAGAGTAATTTAATTCATAAAATTGAGAATAATAATTTATAAAATTTTTAAAGAGTGTGATGATTCCCAATTTCCACATTTATAATATATATTAATAAATTTTATCATGCTTACCGTGAAGGAATGATGATTTAGTTCATTTTGATTTTAATTTTTTCAATCTATTTCATTCCATTATTGTTTAGGAACCAAATGGGACCTTAATTACTTTTAGGTTCATTGTCATTCTCCTAAATTTAATTGTTAATGGACCTTTAAATAATTAATTGTATTAAATGGAACTTCGATGTAATTTTTCTTTAATTTTTATTCATAAAATTAATTTTCATGTATATTTTTCATTTTGTACATTGAGTTTGACAAGTGGTTAAACATTTGTTAGGATAAAAGTCCACTTTTACAAGAATTCTTTTGGCCAATAAAAGTAAAATCCAAACATAACCTTAATGTTTTATGATTTTTAAATTAAGATGTGGCGTGAAATTAATTTATTCACATTAACTTAAAGTTTGATATGATGCAAGTATTGAAGGAATTCCTTAACCCACACAATGTTCTCATGAATCTTAGTAAGTGATACCAAGATCCCAGTATGGCGTGGATAGCTACTCTTTTATATATATATATATACACACACACACACTACATTGACTTATTTGTATATGGATGATTACTCTATATTCTAAGTCATATGCATATATATCGATGATTAAGTGAATGTCTATTTAATTACACAGTTTTCGACTTACATGAATGAAAACATCCACTTCATTCTTGGATAAATTATTTAATTAGGAAGAAATTTCATTATTGTAATGGCATTTTCAATTTAAATGACATTACTCACATTAGTAATGTGAAGACTCTGATAGTGATGAGTTATGCTCTTTTAGTTTAACAATACTAGCCATTTTTGTTTAGATTGAATATTAAAAAATGTAAAATATTTTTAGTTTTTTAATATGTAATTAATGAGTTTTTTTTTTCTTCAAAACTATCCTCAATGAATATATCATCCAACACTTCACCTTTAGGTAAACACATCATTAAATACTCCCTCCATAAGACACTTTTAAAAAAAATTCAACGCTCCAAAATATAAGATATTTTAATAAAAATAAGATTTTATTAATGATACTTTTTTAATATTATCCTTTCCATAGATTCTCTCTCTTTAATATTTTTTTATTAATAAAGTATTAAATGAAGGGCATTTTTAAAAGTTTATATTTTTATTTTAAAAAAATAAGGTAATAAAATATGTTTAATGAACTTTATTGATATATAAAATTTTATCTAAAAATGTCTTAAAATTTGGGACAAAAGGAGTATAACATTTTTTAGAAGCCTTATTTGGTTCAAAATATAGGATATTGATTAACTTTTATAATTTTTTTAATTATACCCCTACTCATTTATTACTCTTTTTGAAATTATGATGTATTAGGATTTTAATAGTCATTATTAAAGAACTTATATATAGTGTGTTTAATGAGGTTAAAATTGAAAAGATGTAAATCTTTTAAGAAATTAAGTTAAAAATATTTTTCGTAAACTATGAACTAATTCCCAATACCCTATATTTTGATCTAGAGAGAATAATTAAATATAGAAATAGAAAGATACTATTGATTTGAAAAGAATTAATTAATGTATACTTCCTCCGTAAAAAAATGTAAGACTTTTTTTAAAGAGTTAGATGTTCAAAAACATGAAATATTTTGAGATGTAATAATTATTTTTTAAAAAAAATATTCTTATTAAATAGATTACTTTATATTTTTTTTAAAATAAAATACCTTATTAAATAAAAATAAATATAAAAAATAAAATTAATTTAAAGATAAGTAATTATTTTATTAAAATATCATTCAATTAAAATTACTTTCCATTCCTGTATATCTTTACGCATTGATGAAATGACAACCTCATGAATACGTGCTGCACATGATCAATGATCGACCAGTGAGAGGACAACGTTTTAAAGCTCAAATGTAGCAGTATATATGTGAACTATACGCAGTACTAAGCAAAAGTTCAACATTTTGAACTATCTAGGCTGTCACAAAGGACATGTTTTTGTTTTCAAAAACCATACAATTTCTTGCTGTAAAATCAGAAAAAAAAACAAAATATAAATAAAAAAAATAAAGGAGACTTGGAAATTCTAACACGCCTGCCTATCTATATTCTTTTCCCTTTACAACTTTCTTAAGTCTTAACCACCACCGATAATTCATGTCTCCTCCAAGAAGTCCTAGTCAAAGACATTGTACTCCCACGCTCATCAAAATTCCCATTGATTACGCCTAAAAGT